CCCCCCAAACATTGATCTAATTTGAACATACTTCCTGGTTTTGTCTTGTTCCTTAAGAAGACGCCCTGAGCAAGCCCCCTACTACACACCTGGTCACGTGACGTGGTGTGGTCATCCCAGGCGACGATGTCGGTGGTCAGATGTCCGTGGCCAGAGTGGACGGCCTACTGGACCCCGCCCCCAACATGGCCGCGGCGCCTGCTCTGTGAGAACAGTTTGTGTACTTCCGTCTTGTTCAAAGACACAAGGTATTATTATGTGTGTGAGTGTGACAGTAGTTGTACTTACAGGGGTTATTGGTACTTGGGTCGTTATCTCAAACCCTGGACTTTTTGTTAAGAAACTTTTAACAGACACCATTACCCGAGGGTGAATGAAAAGAGTCAGTTGTGTAAAAAATGTGTTAGCTTCTTTTCAAATAAAATCCTCAAGATTAGAGAGAGCAATTGGGTGAGCAATTACCACCACAAGTTGTCTTTGAAATGTTCACTGGAACTGTTTTGTATGAGTTTAGAAAAGTTTCACAAGAAGATGCTTTGAATCATATTCAGGCGTTATGGCCTACTCTACTTTTACCGAATATCCTGCTTTCCGAAACAATGTTTAGATGGGCGCCAGAAACGCGAAAAAAATAAGAACACCACTGGCCATTTTCATACATAACGTCACGATACACCAAGGTGAAGGACACACACACACACACACACACACACACACACACACACACACACACACACACACAAAACAGAGGCGTGGAAAAGAAGAAAGGGGGGGGGGGCGCCAGTGACACCTTCCTACTACCCACATCTGTTACCTGGACCAGATATTTGATCTGAGTACATTGATGAATTAATTTTCTCACTACGTAACCTGGGAAGTCACTGCAACAGCACCTTCTGCCTTTTGAAGTAAAACCCAGTATGTGCAAATCTGGGATAAATCGACTTTTAGCCATTTTCCCCCTTATATAAACAAGTCTAGTAAACTTGCACATGATTTTTTATCTCAGCGATCGATGTCAATATCTCTATAATCATTGAACGTAAAAACAATATTGAGATTGGTATGATATATTATTGATTTGGAGTAAAGTGACTTTAATAGACACAATAATGGTCATTTAGAATATGATACGAGACAGAGAGACAGACAGACCGACCGACAGACAGACAGAAACAACAGAGAGTATGAAAAGAAGTATGACCTATTTGGTGGCCTCTTAAACGTAGCATTGAGTTTAGGCAATTAACGTGACCAGTTATCTAAAATAACTATTTGGTGGGGTTTTTATTTTTATTTTCAGTTGTCGACAAAACATGATTTTGTTAGATACCCCTTTTTCAGTTCCCACTCCTGTAATCTGCATTGCCTTCTGATAATATTATCGCGGACTTGTACATTTTTAATATGTTACAGAGACAGACATACATAGAGAGAGAGAGAGAGAGAGAGAGAGAGAGAGAGAGAGAGAGAGAGAGAGA